CTCGGGTGCGCACGCTGTTGTGGCAGAGGAGAAAGGCCATCTTCTGCAGGGTGTCGGCGCTCATCTTCAGGTCATCCTGGAGGATGGTGTACTTGGTGGGTCGAGAGGTGCCCTACAGCAAAGGNGAAAAGTGACTGCTCAGGTAAAACGTCTAGTACAGTGGCTCGACGATGGTGTTGTCGACGACCGTTCCGCTGGGCACATTCCAAGTGGGCCTGCGTCCTTGGGCGTTGACGATGGTCAGTGCAAAGCGAGCGTTGTGTCGCTTCTGCACAATGATCAGCGCAATCTTGATGAGCTCAGTGGTCATCTTGTTGACTGCAGCTCGAATGTTGGGCAGCTCCAGGGCCTTCACCACCATGTACTGCCCCTCGGAGACGCCATCGCGGAAGACGATCAGGTTCTCAGGCAGTGCACCGTTTGCCGTGCGATACTCCTCAAGCAGTTCGCAGATCATCGGCTCAAGGTTCTTCAAAATTTCCTCTCGACTCTTCTTCTGTGCGAAGATGCTGGCTGCGTACCGGCTAAAGTTGGGGTCGAGAGAGCCGACGGCGGCAGACACCGAAGAGGCCATTTTTTCCGTCTCCGCCGAGTGGTTCACGTCAATGCCGACAAAGATGGTGCGAGCCAGGTTGAAGGGAAAGTCTCGCAACTGGCTAGCCTCAACCAGCGAGTTCACTCCGCCACACTTTCCGTTCACTTTGAGGAGAAACTGGTCAAAGTATCCGTTGGGCAGTCTATCGATGTACTCTGCCTTGAAACACTGCGAGAGAATGCCAAACTGCTGGTCGCAGTAGTACTTGATCAGGCCGTACATTTGGGCCGGTGGAATGACTAGGTGCTCTACAGGAAAAATAAGATTAGATTAATGAAAAACACTAAAATAAAAAGTACTTACTCGTGGGTATTCCGATAAAGATGAATTCAGCGCCAGCTTTGGAAACGATGTTGGAGAAGGCGTTGAGCACCATGCTTCGGTCTCTGATCTGAATGATGGCCACAGGATGTGGTTCCGCGAGGACGAGGCCAAAGAAGCGCGCTCGGTCAATCATCATCTTCACAAAACTCTGCAGATTCTCCTGAGTGACGGCCGAGTCAAAGCGGAAAACGCCCCACCTCTTTGGCATCTGGCCCACTTGGTTGAATCGGTCGTTGCGGTTCGAGTTGAGCAGCCTCGGAGCGTTCAGGACGCGTCCCATGAAAGAGACCGGGCTAGTGTCGAGACTGATTCCAAAGTCTCGTTGAGTGTCCAACTCGCCACCTGCTCCACCACCCTAGCCAATTTGTTGAAGTACACATTGGGGGTGTTGGTCGCCTTCAGCAGTAGTTCCAGCTGAATTTGAGTGTTGATTTTGGCGTTGCTCAGAAACTAGTTGGGCACCAGAAAAAGGAGCTCCAGCGGCAGGAAAACACCCTTTTTGGTCATCTTCACAGAAGTGTGTCTTGTGCGGGCGTGATGTTGTACACGTCTATGAAGTAATCGGCAACGCTCATTTCCTTGCCCGCCCTTTTGCATATAAACTTGATCTGGTAGACCGTCGAGTCGACCAGACCAGACCATCGACGGTGTACTGGACCTCTCGCTTACTGTGTTTGGTGAAAACTCGCAGGAAGCGAACGAAGCGGTTAAAGTCCATGATCTGCTGCTTCGTCGGACGACGGCCAATTTGGATTTCCACCACTTCGTGAGCAACGTCGCTGACTCTGGTGAGGCTGCGACTGATCACGCAGGATGTCTTCAGGTGAACGTTGAGCNCACGCAGGATGTCATCAGGTGAACGTAGAGCGCTAGGCCAAACTCAGTCATGCGGACAGCCGAGGTGAAGCCACTGACGAACT